CATGTACAGTGTGGAGCATGCCCACTGACATGATGGTAGTGTGTACAGTGTGGAGCATGCCCACTGACATGATGGTAGTGTGTACAGTGTGGAGCATCCCATGGAGAGCTGTGACGGGTGAACTGTGAAGTTTCTGTGTTAGTGGGGTGACTGCTCCCCTCTCTTCCACAGCCCTTGCTATCCTCAGTCTTTCTCACTTTGCCTCTTCTCAGCGGAGACTGACGCAGTGGGCAAGTGAGCGGCTCTTAAGCGGCCAATGATGGATGGAATGGCTTCTCACACATCTCTCAGCTCTCTGTTTCATTCTGGGGGGCAATGCCTATTAATTTCCTTTACCTTTCGTTTCATTTCACTAAGGCATAGAGAAATGGAACTACAACTTGAAATGTCGTTTTTTTGCATTTTTTTTTTTTTTTGAGGTAGGATCCCAGGTTAGTCTTCAACTTCTAGTTTTACTCACTCTGTCTCTCAAATGCTGGCACTCTGGGTAGATAACACTTACCACTGTGAACAGTAAGAGGTTTGCTGAACACTGATGTGATGAGACAAAGATGACAAGCGGTCATGGAGATGCTCAGTGGGTAAAGGCAACAGCTACCAAGCCTGACAACCTGAGTTCAACCCCTGGGACCCACCGGGCCGAAGGAGAGAACTGATTTCTGTAAGCTGTCCCCCGACTTCCACACACCTGCCGTAACACATGTGTACCACCTTTCCCCGCCCCCCCCCACATGCAAAGTTTAATAAAAATATAACAATAAAAATATAAAAATAAAAACAAAATGTAATAAAAATCTAAAATAAAAAAGACCCATAGTGCTTGTGTGAGCAGATACTGCTTAGTAAAGCCACCCTAAAATTGCATATAAATTATTTTCTCTCTACGCACTTGTTGTTAAAATGTAACTTCTGAGCTGTATGAAGAATATTCTAGTTGTTCCACATGAGGAGGGACCTAAGTTCATCTTTTTCTAGTACTCAATACAAATTTTCAGGATCGTTTACTGGCCCAGTAATCTTTCCCACCAGACAGTTGTTACTTGCGTTATCGCTTAAACGTTCTAACTGTCCTTTGCCCCTTGATCCAAACGTTGTGGGTATCCTTCCTTTCTCAGAAGGCAGGCTTTTGTTTATACGGAAAGAAGAGGCTTGCCGTTTCCTCTTTCAACCGCGAACTTGCCGCAGGTGTGACTTCCTGGCTCAGGAGGAGTTTGCCAGGATGCTGGATGTGTGGGGGTGATGTTAGGGTTGCTTTGGGAAGATTGGGGTTCTCATAAATCACCACCTTTTGTAACTGCTGAGAATCTAGAACTGAAAGGACTGAAGCTGGTGAGACTGAGCCTGCTGCCGGAAGTGCATGCAAAGGCAAGGCTTGCTGGAGGAGGGGCAGCGGCAGGCGGGACCCGGGCTAGGCTGATGGTGTAAGTGGAGATTCCCTAAGTCTCTACGTGAGAAGAACCAGCATGTCAGCATGTCTGGGAGCTTCAGGGCTTTGGGGTATAGAGAGCAGGCAGCTGCAGGAGGTGGGTTACGGCCTCGTCAGCTCAGCATAGTCATTGTTCAGTCACTAATTCGGCAAGTACTTCTGCGGCACTTGGTAATGTGGTAATGTGTTGGACGGTGCTTAAGTATGAGCCATATAAGGAGAAAGATGAAGGACATCTCTACTCAGAGTTTGCATTTGAAGAGAGGCTGGATCTGGTGTGGTAGCAATCCCACCACTCAGGGCATGAAGGTGGGAGGATGGGTAGTTTGAGGCCAATATGGGCTGGTTAATGTGGGCTGGTTCAGGGTTGACTTCAGCTACATGGGGGGAGATCCTGTCTTCAAAAACAAACAGGAAAGATAATTGTGTGTGTGTGTGTGTGTGTGTGTCTAATGTCATCAAGAAAAACAAAGATCTTAGGACCTGGGACAGACAGGAGTGACAAGGTCAAGAGCCCCAAGCCCAGGAGAGGAGGCTTCCAGTGTGTGTGGGCAGCCAAGAGGAGGTGAAGGTATAGGAAGTGGGCAAGGTGTGCAGAAAGGGACAGAGTAGCAGAGTGCTGGGGAGCCTAAACTGGCCAGGTGGGCGCTTTAGAGACAAGCTTCTGACAAACTGTTTCAGTGAGGTGAAGTTAGGCCATGCTGATGTTAGGTGATGGCTATCCATGTGTGAGCATATCTATGATTCCGTTCATATGGTGTGAGATCTTGTGCATGGATGTGTGTCTATGTGCCTCATATGCCTATGTGGATGTCTGTCTGTGTGTATGCTGTAAACATAAACTAATGTACTGTGTTTGTGTGGACGTTCACATTTATGTGTGTAAGAACCTATGTGCTTGAATTTTTTTTTTCTCATTTTGTGTGTGTAGATGTTTTGCCTGCCTCTATCTCGGCACTTTATGAGTGCAATACCCGCAGAGGCCAGAAGGCGGCATCGGATTTCCTGGGGCTGGAATTACAGATGGTGTCATGTGGGAATGAAATCTGTGTGCTCTGGAAGTATAGCCTGGGCTATTATCCCTGAGCCACCTCCCCAATCCCTGTGCTTGGCTCTTTGTGTTTGTGCACATGCTTGATAGCATGTGCCTGTGTTTTTGTGTTTGTGTCCCTGAGAACACACCAGGCAGAGAAGATCACAGAGGGAGAGGAGCACACACTGGGGCCCTTTCCTGGTAACCTGGCAGAGACTTTACCCTTGCCAAGGGTCACAGAACAGACCCGTGTCACTGATGACATCACACAATAAAGCCAGGATCCTAGTGATCATGTGGCCACTCAGGCTGGGGCTGGCTGGAGGGCTTCAGCACAGCCCACACCAGCTCTCACCTAGATTCTGGGTGCTGGTTTGAAGTCATGAAACGCCATCTCAAGGAGAGCAGGAGAGAACAGTCACCAATCAGTGGGACCACTATCAGCATGGCCAGCCCAGAGTCCACAGAGGAGAGCGCAGAAGTGTGCTGGCCAGGTGGCCAATAGATGGAGAAGGGACAGGTTGGTCTCTGGTGCTGTTATCAAAGGGGTGTGTTGTTCATACAAAGCAGATAGGGGAGGGCTATGAAGAAAGTGATCTTCAGGGGAAGCTGGTACTTCCTAGTCTGTTGTGCATCTATGGGAGGTATTTCAGAAGATATGTAGAGGAGAATGTAACTGTTCACTTTTAGGTATTGATTTTAATGTGTTTGAAAAAAAATTACATCAAAATTCTGTAAGTCCTGTAGTAATATGAACATTCCTTTATAGTACGTGAATGTGAGCTAATCTAGACTGCCAACTCAGTGGCCACCAGGGTGTGTCTTCAGGCAGCACTTTAGGATAAGATCTGCTCTTGGAGCCAAGTGGCTCTGCCAGGCATGCATGTCCTCTTGGCCTCCATTTCCTTATCTGCTGAATAAAAATCCTAGTGAAATTCCGTAGGCTCGTTTTGAGTCTTAAAGGCCTCGAGGCCTGGCATGCGCTTCGATGGTGACAGGGACATAGTGTATGTCCTGAGTGGCTGAGAGGTCCCTGGGTAAGACAGAGCTAGGTCACAGAGAAACAGAAGCTGGGACAGATGCTCGGCAGAAGCACAGCTCCATTCTCGATTTTCAAGTGGGTGTTATTGACCTGGTGTGTCTACACACGTGGTGTGTACCGTGGAAAGAACGGTGACACCGGTCATGTGAGTGGGAGCCACAGCCAAAGCACAAGAGGTTATCATGACCCCAAAAGTTCCCTAAGGCACCTTTATGTCCTGTGCATCCCTCCCCTGCTCTTGGTGATTGTTCTGTCTCTGTAAGATCTGCTTTTTCTAGAATGTCTTCTAAGTGGAATTGTGGTAGCTTTTTTTCATCTAGCAGCGGCATTATCTTCTGTGTCTATTCCGCACACATTCCTGGTTCATTTATTTTATCCATGAATACAACTGCATCATGTGGTTGTACCACAGTCTACTTTTCAGTCAACCAGGTGTTGGCCTTTTACACAATCAGTTGATAAAATTTGCACACTCTTTTATCCTTATCTCATGAGATAATATTATGGTCATCTCTGATGAATAGCAGGCACCTTCCCCAAAGCCACCAGAGTCTGCATGATTCTGTTGGTGGCTTCTCAGGCAAGTTATGTGTGGAGCCTTCTGAAAGCACTGATAAGACTGTCCTTCCACTTCTCAGGGACCATGAGGAGGAATGAGTCATCTCCACGGCCAGGGCCTGCCTTCCTCCCAGAGGACATCTACTTGGCAGCCCGGACACACGCAGTGCTGGGCTGGAGCAGCTCTCCGTCATCCCAGTCGTCCTCAGAGTACCAGTCCTATTCTCCGTACCAGTCCTGGACCTCCAGCAGGTTCGATGAGCAGCAGGATGCCCCACCCGAGAGCGTGTGTGCCCTGTACACCCACGTGCAGACCGTGCGCGGCGTGGCAGTGGCTTGGGAGACTGACGATGGCTTTGAGCCAGTCACCAGGAAGCCCCTCATCCGCGAGGCCGAGTTCATCAAGCGACAGCGGCGGAAAGGCTCCTCCTTTGAGATGGCCTCCAATACAGACCTGCACTGGGAGCTGGAAGCCTGCAAGCACTACTGCCCGCAGGCTGAGGACTCTGTGGACTGCTGCTTGGAGGAGCTGCGAGCACCACCAGACTGGCTGGTCACCACCAACCATGGCCTTCGCTGCGTGGCCTGCTGCAGAGTCTTCCCCACACTGGAGGCGCTGCTGGAACACGCCCAGCATGGCATCCGAGAGGGCTTCAGCTGCCAGATATTCTTCGAGGAGATGCTGGAAAGGAAACGGGCCCGGGAACAAAGGCGGGACCAACAGCCTGTAGAGGAGGAGGAGAGCTCTTCTGACAGTAGTGAATGTTTCAAGCCCACCACGAAGATGCTTCCGCAACAGCAGCAGCAGCAGCAGGAACAGGAGAAGGAGCAGCAGAAGCAGCAGGAGCAACAGGAGCAGGAGCAGCCGCCGACGCCGCCACAACCACAGCCGCAGCAGCAGCCGCAGCAGCCGCAGCAGCTGCAGCAGGAGCCAGAGCAGCAGCCACAGCAGCAGAAGCCAGAGCAGCAGCCACAGCAGCAGAAGCCAGAGCAGCAGCCACAGCAGCAGAAGCCACAGCAGCAGCCACAGCAGCAGAAGCCACAGCAGCAGCCACAGCAGCAGAAGCCACAGCAGCAGCCACAGCAGCAGAAGCCAGAGCAGCAGCCACAGCAGCAGCCACAGCAGCAGCCACAGCAGAAGCCACAGCAGCAGAAGCCACAGCAGCAGCCACAGCAGCAGCAGCCACAGCAGCAGAAGCCACAGCAGCAGCCACAGCAGCAGCTACAGCAGCAGCCACAGCAGAAGCCACAGCAGCAGCTACAGCAGCAGAAGCCACAGAAGCAGCCACAGCTGCAGAAGCAGCAACAGCAGCAAAAACAACATCCACAGCATCCACGTGGGAAGTAGAGATCGGAGGTGAGGTGCCCACCCTCCCTCCAGCATCATGGGTTGCTGCTCCTTTTCCAGCCATCAGGACCAGAGCCACCAGAGCAGGGGGAGAGGACCAAGGTGGTAGGGGAAGAAAGCCATCCATGTGGCATGTGGAACAGTAAGGTGGGAGGGCTAGGAGCCTTTCCCCAAGGTGCAGCTTTCCACCAGAGTCCGTTTCAGAACCTGAATTCCAAGAAGAGGTCTTCAAGAGTTCCTGATGGTGGATACAAAGTAAGAAACGTGCAAGCAGGTGGCCACAGGGATTTGCATTTTTGCTGAAGGATCAAGAGCAGTCCATATCTGCTGCTCAAGCACTCGTGACTCACAGGGAGCCAACTGCAAATGAAGTTTCGGCCCTATTTTTTTCATTGTTAGGCATCTGTCATATGCCCTAATTCTATGTCTTATGTTATTGGGATTAAACTTGAATAAGACAAAGTGGTAAGAAGTGTCTGAGTGAACCGTGCGACCAGGTGGGGAACATAAATGGTTGTTGTGTAGATGACCAATTAACAGATGTGGAGAGACATGCAGCTTTGCAAAAAATGGTGTTTGGGTCCTTCTGACCAGTCAGCTCAAATTCATGGTCTGCACCCTTGTAACCAGTACAAAAGCTACAGTCTTCAAACAAAGATACCAGTCAGGACCACTGGGATAGGTATGTGACTGATGTGGCCAATGTAGGTTGAGTAACCCTTATTAAAAATGCTTGGAGTCCAAGCATTTCACAAATTTCCAGAAGTGGGACCCAAGTGTAAACAAAATCAACCTGTCTCATAAACACCATATACATGTATCCAGAAAGGAGTCTATTTAGCATCTGTACGGCCCTGCTTTTCATTGAGCTCAATCACATGGGGTCAAGTGTGAAGTTTTCCACTTGTGACATCATGCCGGTGCTCAGAAAGTTTCAGACTGGGGAGCAGTTCACAGTTTGGATTTTGGTTTCTGGGGTTGGGGATGCTCAGCCTGTACGAAAGCTCCATTATGCCCATGACAAAGTCAATTGCAAAGCGAAGGGTTAATCTCATCAAGAAAGTCCAAGGACCCAAGAGGAGGGGCCCTAAGACAAACTGGTTGATCAGAAAGTGCTCATACATAGTATAAGTCGGGCAGAATACTATGCAGGAGGGTTTCACAAAGACAGCATTGTAGACACTGTTGCTCTAAATGGTTCTTTGTGGAGGCCAGAAGTATTCCTTCCCATGACAATCAAAAGTATACCCAGGGAGGAACTGCCGTAGAGGTGAGATCACCCCAGGTCAAGAACCCATGGGCTAGGCAAAATGAGGACCTTGGGAGAGAGAATGACTGAGGGTCATTCTCCAGCTGCAAGGTTGGAGGTATTGCTCCCCATACTTTCAGTGAAGCCTTAACACCTATCACGTGGCAGGCGCCAACCAGGCACAGGAGCAAGAAGAGGATAAAATAATGAAAACAGCTGTAGGTACTGTTTGGGGGACCATGTGGCCAGTGAGTGGGGAACTGATTAGAAAGAATTGCAAAGGTGCTTTTCCCTGACCTGCAGGGCCCTGCAGAGCTCGCCTGGGGCACTTTCCATCTGCCTCAGCCCTACTCGGCCTTTCTTAAAGTGTCTAAGACTTCAAACCTCACAGCCTTGGCACGTGTACTCTGGTGGGATGTAGTTGCCTCCCTGTCTTCTGGCTGACAGGTTGCTCTTTGGGATTTTCTCAGTCACATCACCTTAGCTCATTCCTCATCCTATGTGCTGGTTTAGGAAGATGGATGTGACAGGATCAGGTCCACATGTTTAAGAGCACAGTGTGGAGTGTAAGCATCAGGATAGTAGCAAAAGGAGAAAATGAGAGGCGGGAAGATCGGTAGCCTAGTGCAGGAATCTCGGCCAAGAATGGTGATGATTTGGATGGGGTAAGAGGGATGAGTTCATTCAAGACCTATTTGGGGAATCAAGTAAAGGACTTGGAGATAAAAGGGCATGCCAAGGTGCAGTCTTCCGCTGATAGCAGGAAGTAATGTTTGCTGACTGATAGGGGAGACTTTGGTGGAAGACTGAAGTGTGTCTATGTGGACATGTGTGAACATGTGTGTGAACGTGTTTGTGAGCATGCTATATGTGCCTTATGTGATTGTGTCTATGTGTAAGCGTGGTCTCCATGTGGACATAGTTCTGAGATGATGGTCAATTGGGACATGTGAATTCTAAATGCCAACGGCAAGTTCAAGTAGAGAGGTTGACTGTGAAGTGGTTTCTGAGTTAGACATGGAACAGCAGGCAAGTCTGAGCTGGAACTGTAACTGAGCATGCTAACTATTCCAGCAGTGGACAGATGAGACTCTGGGGAGCAGGAGTGAGGCTAGGGAGATGGCTCAGCTCTTGAAAAGCTAGGCTTGCAACCCAAAGGACAAGAAAAGGGTGGGGTACTTCACAGGATTTTTTTTTCCTGAGCCAACTGATTCAATGAAATATGGTCTTTAGGAGTGGTAAGCAGGGCCGGCTGCTGGGGCAGTTGAGTGAGCCAAGGATGAAGCTGTTTTATTTCCTCTGGGTTTTATGAAGCAGGCTCAGTGACTGACAAGAGCTGTAGCTAGAGTTTTCCTGCCTTGCCCACAGTCAGGACAACTCTTTGTCCCCCGCCAGTCCCACAGCCGCTCAGACCCAACCAAGTAAACACAGAGACTTATATTGCTTTCAAACTCTATGGCTGTGGCAGGCTTCTTGCTAACTGTTCTTATAGCTTAAATTAATCCATTCCCACAAATCTATACCCTGCCACGCAGTTTGTGGCTTACTGGCATCTTTTCATGCTGCTTGTCAGGGTGGCAGCTGGCAGTGGCTCCTTCTGCCTTCCTGTTCTTTTATTTCTCCTCTCTTTTAGTCCTGCCTAGCCACCTAGCCACGGCCAATCAGGTTTTATTTATTGACCAATCAGAGCAACTTGACATACAGACCATCCCCCAGCACAGCCAAGTGCAGATCATCTCAGACACCTGCACTCAGGCCCGTGGTTCTAATCATCCTCTATGTGGACCTGCTGGGTAAAGCCACGAGGAACCCAAGAACGGGCTCCTACAGGACATACAGAACATCCCACAGCAAAGAGCAGGCATCAGATGGGCACTGGTCAGGTGTAGACATAAGACAAATCTTTTTAGGGACCAGAAGGGAACTGAGAACAGAAACAAGTATGTATACTAATGAAAGCAACCCAGGAGAGAGGGAGAGGGAGAAATATGAGAAAAACCCAGGGAAATCCAGGACCTAGGCAGGGAGGGATGAAAAGAAAGGAAAAATTGACCTGGAAGTAATCAGTTTTGGGTTCTGCTGCCTGGGTGTGGTAGTTAGGTCAAGTAAGGCTTGAGAGTGCAAGTCATGGAACCTGAATTCCATATCAATTTGCCATATCAAGGAGCTCTTGACTATTAAGCAAATGAGACTGCATTTGTGAAAAACCCTGGTGAAGATGGTGAAGGATGGAGAAGAGCTGTAGACAAATTTCTAAACAGTCTTATTAAATAAGAAACACAGAGCCAAATACAGAGGTAAATAGGCAAAGAGATCAGAGCAAAAGCTGCCTAGCATTAGCTTACCACCAGCAGTAGCTTCCACAGAGAGAGCTTCTTCCTGTCTAACCTGTGTTTTTATTGCCTTTCTGTTTTGCCTTCTCATTGGCTCTAAGCCCAACCACATGACTTCCTCATCACTGCCTGTCTATACAGACCTCCTGGTCTCAATGGTTGGTACTGGGATTAAAGATTTGTGTCACCACGCTTGGCTGTGTCCTTGACCACACAGAGACTCTGCCTGTCATGTGATTGGATTAAGGGTGTGTGCTACCACAGCCTGACTGCTGTCCCTGGCTTGCTATAACCTCTGATCTCCAGGCAAACTTTATTTATTAACATACAAATAAAATCACATTTCAGCACAATTAAAATATCACCACAAAGAGCAGTATGGCCAGGGTCAAGGGATCCAGGTGATCTGGCAGCTGGAAGAATTCAAGGGAAATCCAGAGGACTGGAACTATGGAGTCTGGCTAGTATTCACTGAGGGAGGTGACCTGGGATTTTCCCTGGGAGTGTGGTGGTGAATGTTAGAACTAAAAGAATGGAGTGGGGGTTGAGGAAAGAAAGAGGAGGAGATTAATTAGGATGCTGAATGGTCAGACTGAGAAGCACCTAAAAGGGGGCTGGTTTGAAAGGTACAGAATGCAGAAGAGTGGTACTTAAGAATGGAGATGATTTGTGATCACCTACGCATGTATGGTTAACTGAGACCACGATGTGCCCCATGGGCCTCATGTAGGACATGTTCCCTCTGTTAGTTCCAGAGACTCCGCCATGAGGACCTAATCGGTTTTAAAAGGCGGTCTGAGTACACTTTGAAAGATGCTAGAGGATCTATATTGTCTGAGTCATAGAAAAGCTATTTCTGAGGGGACTCAGTCAGCTGAATGGGCAGGTAGAATCCAAGGACAATCGAAGGAAAGAGGAGACTGCTGAGTCAGAAAAATGTAGTGGGTAGCCATTCCAGCTTTGGTCAGGAAGTTCCAACCCCCACTGAGGCTTCGGTAACTATCACACCTACAAGGCGGGGTGAAGGGAGGGCCCTGAAGACCCAAGATGGGGATGCACCGTGCTCTCTTCCTTCTTGGACCATGGACACTAGAGGTAGACCGAGGAGAGTTCTCCAGAGAACACCACCAGACTGCACTGCATCTTTCACAGAACCCGCAACCTACCTATCCCTTCATTTGTAAGTTACGCCATTAAATAAATTTCCCGGCCGGGCAGTGGTGGCGCACACCTTTAATCCCAGCACTCAGGAGGCAGAGCCAGGTGGATCTCTGTGAGTTCGAGGCCAGCCTGGGCTACCAAGTGAGCTCCAGGAAAGGCGCAAAGCTACACAGAGAAACCCTGTCTCGAAAAACCAAAATAAATAAATAAATAAATAAATAAATAAATAAATAAATAAATAAATTTCCCTTTTAACTACGTGGAGTGGCCTTAATAATTTCACCAATAGAAAAACATTAGTGAGAAGGATATTTTTATGTCAAATTCAGTGGGTGAAGAAACTAAGATCAGACATAGTGGTTCAAGTCTAGAGTGTCAACATTTAAAAGACATGTTTACATATGCTTAGCCCTGACATTCTAAAGACTTTGCACTGTTTTAATTGCCTTATTCATATTAGACCATGTGCATTCTCTACAACCCCACAAAATGTAGCTCCCAGCTTTATCTTTCTTTTTTTGGTGAGTGACCCAAGACTTCATCAAGGTCTCATGGCTGTGCATGGCAGAGTAAGGCTTCACCTACAGCAGCTTGGCTCCAAACCATACTATAATCATGACACTGAGACTCCAGCTTGGATGGGGAGACAGATGAAGGTGTCTAGGAAAGCATATATGTTCATCCTCACAGGCTGTGTTGCCTTTAGATTAAACAGCAGC